TTTCATCGTTGCTACATCGTACCCTGACTGGCTTGTCTCCTCCCCGAGACCCTTCTGTAAGGGGATGTCCAGTGGCCTACTAATGGACTTTGGGTCTCCACTCCGCATCCCACCCCCCATTCTGTGCATTTTCAATAAAATATATTACATCTGTTTTTATAAGAAGTGTTGGAGATAATTACATATCAGTGCATTATTCTTAACTTGGAGTAGACATGGTTTCTTAAGATTTATGACTAAATGTAGGCATAAGCCACATTGTCTCCATTATTATGATTTTTTTCATTAATAGTGGATTTTGTTTAATCTAACATATCCAAAATATTTTCTCAAGTTTTCCAAAGGATTTAGTCTCAATAAGAATATTTTTGCATATTTTTCTATTGATGCCATGTTAGGGGAATTGTTTTGTTGCTGTTGTTTTTAAAAGTTTTATTGGCACTTAAACCACATATCACACAATTTAATCATACCCAGGGGAATTGTGCAATCATTACCAAAATCAATTTCAGAGCATTTTCCCCTCATGATTAACTCACCTTTAAAATTAGTTTTGTAGTCCCATTCAGTTCTAGTGTTCACTCCCCCTCCCACCTTCATTGTTTACTCCTGAAATCTCATCCTTCCCACCAACCTCCACCAGCCCCTGCATCCCCTTCAAACCCTTACATCAGTTATTATCTCTATGCATCCACTCCTTCTGTGCTTCATAAATGAGTAAACCCAGTAGAAACAGTAAAGAACACAAACAAAATGAAGTGATAAGAATAAAACAATAGTAATATAAAGATAAAAATACAAACAATGAGTAAGAAAAAAGGGCCCCTATCAATATTTAAAAAGCCAGAGAAGAAGTTTTTGTCATGGAACAAGCAAGAGATCCTTGCACCTAGAACAAATTCAGGTTGGATCTAAAGGGAGATCAGCTGACCAAGTATCAAGCTTGATCTAGCCTAATCAGGATTACAATGATCTCTGTTGGTTAGTAAGGCTGTTCTAGACCCTTGCCTACGGTGAGATGGGATCTGCCTTATACAGATCGATTTGAGGCTCCCATTGTCCTCCACAGCCTTCCACAAATTGGGTGTTCAAAATTTTAGCTCTAATACTTTTCCCTTCGTCATATTTGAATTTTATTATTGTCGTCTTTGGATCACACAAGCTGGTGTACTTCTTCCATGTGGGCTTAGTTGACTCCTCGCTTAAATGGCTGCTTATTTGAATACAAGCCTTTAAGACCCCGCTTCTCTATTTTTAAGGATATTCTGCCAAGGACTGTATCTGCCTAGTGAATATGTAGAAAAGGGAAATTAGTTCTTTGAGTTCTTCGTCCTTTGGTTCTAACTACCCCACACACATACCACCACCTCCCCACCATTACTGATCGAGTTTGTGTACTTTTGAACATTTCTTTCTTTCCCATTACTAGGTTCACAGCACTTGAGAGAATGTCAGTGTCCTCGACATCAATAATTATTGATTCTATGTCTTATATATGACTTAAAATTCTAGTTGTTATGTTATATTATGAAAATTTTAGCTAAAAATAGGCTATTAGCCTTCAGGTTGCTTATTGTTGAGATAGAGGTATGAACCTCACATAAAAAATGAACACCAGCAAGATGAGTGGCCCAGACGAGGCCAACCTGACAATCAGGAGCCCAGGGAACAGCTGAATCATTAACTCTGGAGGTTGAGGGTACAGATAGGGCTCTGAGGGAAGCAGGCTAACACACCAGAAGGGGCCAAATGTGACCAGTCCTGAGAAGAGGGACATGATGAACATGGAGTTTGCTTGTCATTTTGACTGTTGGTTCTGTCTTTCTAGTGCTCCACAGGAACCTTGGATTATATTTTACAGCGGTGCCAGTTGGCGCTACAGAATCTGCATGGGGAGGTGGGTGATGGGGACATCTCCCTGAAATCCTTGGACCCTGCAATTTTGAAACAAGGAGAAGAAATCCACAATGAGGTGAGGATGTGTCTGAGCTTCTACCCTACTTTCAAGTTAACAAATGAATGTGACACAGTTTCATGCTGATATTAGTTGTGAAACTCCTAATCACAGATGTTTAAGTATAGTTTTTTATAAAGGCACTAGCCATAGCCATTGTGTCAGCATTTTTGTGCCATTCTCCAACCCCCTGTTTCTACAAGGCAACCCTAGGTGGGCCAAATCATATGTATATTTGGAGGTGTTGTAGTAGTATAGAAGGGAAACTTGAAGTTAGAGAATCGGAATCTTTTAAATTTTATTTTAAGTTTTATTGACATTATTCATGAACCGTACCGTTCAATGCTTTAATATGAAAAAAGATATGTACAGTTATCACAACAGTTAATTTTAAAACATTGTCTTCATTTTTGTACTCATGGTTATTAGTTTCCCACTCTCTCCAACCGCCCCTGCTATAACCCTAAGAAACTATTAGTTTATTTACTGTCTATAAATGTATAGATCCTGGATTTCATATAATTGTCCCCTCCCCCTGCCACACACACACACACACACACACACACACACACACACACACACGCAAGACACACAACAGCTATAACAAAATATAATACAAAAAATCCTCAATCCAAAAGAAAGGAGAAAATAAAAATTAGAACAAATTAAAAATGCGTCAGAGAGAAAACAAATGATAAGATGTTAAATTTTAACCTAACTATATATCTCTGCATTAATTCACTTTCTAATGCACTCTGTCTGAGGGCAAGGCTATTCATATCCTTGGTAAATGGTCCAAAGGAATTCATTGGAGGCTAATTTCCATGGAGACTCTGCAAATGGATATTGGACTTTCACTGTCATCCATTGCCTTCTGCAATCTGGGTGCTGAGATTTTAAGCTTTAAAATGCTCCCTTCTGATCTTGGATTTCATTTACAATCCTTGGATCACAGAGGCTGCTGTGCTTCATTCATGTGGACTTGGCTAACATTGCACTTAGATGGCTGCTTGTTTTAAGACAAGCTTTTAAGACCCCATATGCTATTCTTTCTGCTAGCTGGGCACCATCTGATTTTTTCACCACACTTGGCTGTAGCACTTACATCTTCAGGGATCCCTTCAGGAACGTAAGTATTAAGTAGGGCTACATCATAAGAATTTAGTATTCTTAGGTTAGGGCTTATGATTAAATGTGAGCTCCAAATATATTCATATATCTAAGGC